CATTTTTCCATCAGTATTTTTATAAAACAATTTTAACAACTAAATAATATTGTATTTTGGGAGTATTTAAGTATTTATTTAATTAGCTCCCTGTCTTCTTTCTCCATGTCTTTGTTACGTATCATTTGTTGGAAGGTTTGCTGAGAGGCATCTGAGCCTCTGCTGTAGGCAGCAAGTGCACAGGCTGCCCTCAGTGCTAGACTCAGGAATGCTGTGAGTAAAGAGAGTGCAGGATGCCACTCAGGGTGTGGGTTGGGACAGCCTCTGTAAGTGAGTTGTTGGTAGAGCAGGAATGGCCCATTTCTTTGTTGTGTTTACTAGACTAATTCTTGTTAATATAATGAAGATCATTGTTCAGTATCAAGGTGTTTTTCCAACCCTAAAGTTAGATATGACTTAATTCAGTACATTTGGGCATTATTTAAGTCACTTTTATCCCTTCCCTTGATTTGTTGGTGTTATAAGGTGTAATATGGGTTGAACAACTCCAATCCCAAAATCCAAAGTCAAACTTTTTGAGTATACACGACCCCACAGGTTGAAAGTTCCATACCTGACCTCATGTGACAGGTCTCAGTCTAAATTTAAGCATACTGAAGTATGACATTGCCTTCAGGTTCTGTATCAAGGGTTTGTGTCAAATATGAATGAATTTTCATGTCTAGACTTTGGTCCCCTTCCCCAAAGAATCTCATATTTGGAAATCTGAAAATACCTGAAATTATTTCTGATCTCAACTATTTAAGATAAGGGATACTCAGCCTGAAATTTCTGAATTTATCTTTGCATTCTTGTATCAAACTGTACTTGGATGTGGTTTTTTAATTTGTGGCTCCTCTTAGCATAGATTTTAACAGTGGATATTCAGAGGATACACTTTATAGTACTAGTTTTCTGTCTCTTTGGTTATATTTTGTGTTCAGCTTCATTAATGTGCCTTAGAATATCTGCTGTACCTCCTGGAAAAATTTAGAAGGTGCTTTATTCTTTAAATATGGGAGAATCTAGAGCAAAACTCTCTGGGCCTGGAACCTTTTAAAAACCAGCTCTGTGTTAACCTATGTAATTTTCTTATTGTCGTCAATGCTGGTTGTTCTGGTTGAGTCTTCTTGGATTAATGTTTTCCTACTTTATCATGTTTTTTGGATTCATTAGCACAGAATTGAGTTTCTGATTTTATATTTTTATGTTCTTCAGGTGGTACTATACAGTTTGAAATATTGTTGTTCTGAATTCTTAGTTTTAACATTATATTCTCTAAAGACTAGTGGGAGTGAAGCTGTACATTAAAACTGGTTGCATGAGAAGGTAGGTTTACTCTGAAGATAGGAAGTCTCCATGTAGGAGAGCACCTATAAAATAGTATGCATACTAGATTTTATTTTAACTGAATTATTACACCATTGTGTACGTTTAGTGTAATTGAAATAGCTCTAACATTCAGTAGTCAGCATAAGGAACATATTGGTGGGAGACATTTGATGAGAAGAAGCAGGAGCTATGCTTTATTCAGTAATAAAATAATTCACTCACATATGGTGATCTTTTTCAATTAGATGACATCTCTTGCAGTAAACAGGTGCACAGATACCTTTTATAGTTCATTAGGCTCTACTTTTTTTTTTTTTCCTTTGGTGCTAAGAATTGAACTCGGGACCTTGCATTCTCAGGTGCTTGTGTGGCTGAGCTGTATCCTGACTCTTAAGCTCTACTTAACATGCGATTGACTTGTGTTTTAAGGGTAAGTGGAGAGTGAAGATGTATGGGTAGAGCAGAGCCTGTAACATGTAGCTGAAAAATGGGAGAGAGGATGAGCACTGAGGGGAAAATTATTAAAATCTTTTTAGGCCAAACCTTTAATTCATGTCCACATGTATAGTTCTTGGTGCAGTTGTTGCCTCATAGCACAGTGACCTTGAGGAGGTGTATTGGGGTGTGTTTCAGAATCTAGGGTACTGTCTTTCTGTCCATATCCCCTCCACCCCCACAGTGGGATTTAACAGCAAGAGAAGGTATTGCTGGGATGTGCTATTCCAGGTAAAGCTGTGGTGAAAAGATTCATTTAGAATTGCTCTGGACTTCTTGAGTGTTGAGCTGTAGGTTTACAATTCAGCAGAGGCTAAAGTTCATGTAGTTTGGCCAAAGACATCATTCTTCATTGTTAGTAGGAAAGCATACAAAGTATAGAGTGTCAGTAAGTTTGTCTCTGCATTATATACACATACACTACACATACATAGAATGTAAAGGTATCTTTTAAGTTATACTAGGGGAAAAAACCTATCATGGAAAGCAAACGCTTTGTGTAATAAAAATTAAATGAAACAATAAAGAGCATATAGTAGATGACTATACTCTGAAATTTTGGAGATTGTTTTAAAAATACATTGTATCTTACCAGGAGAGTACTAAAAAGTACAGGTTAAATATAAGCAGAATTTTCTATAAAAACTACCAGAAGGAAGTGCTTTTCATAACTGTTCTTACAGCTCTTTAATTGAAGTATGTGTTTACCTATTGAATTGGAGCTGTGGGTAAAAATGTTTTGAGTAAATGTTCTTAGTCAGTAGCACGAATTCATATGCCTTTATTATCCAGACTAAAGGTAACTTAATTGAAAAATTTAAAAGCAAAAACTATTGTTTTGTGAGCAAATGTAAACTGAGGTCATTTTGGAAAAATTTGTATCAAAGTACACAAAAAAGATGTCTCACTTCAGTATACTAAATAGCAGCCATTTCTCAAATATCTGTTAAATCATGAGTTTTTGTTGCTTTGGGCCACAATTTAGTCTATTAGTAAAAATGCTTTTTTTGTTACATAATGTCAAATTAGTGTGCATAACTCTAGAAAGCGTGATCATTATTGTGAATATAATATGTACATGCGTATTATTCACGATTCTTGAGTTTGGTAAACTTGGCATAAAAATAATAGTGCTTTTGCAATAAAACTACTTTTTAAAGTTCCTCAAGGACAACATAAATTAATATCAATTATTTATTTGCAGCTTGAATATCTAAAATGTACTTAGGGCATTTTTTTTTAAAGTAACCCTTATTCTTTTGTTACTTACATTCATATAGATTTCATGCATGGCTTTGGTGTAATTTTTTTTAAATTAAAATTACTGCTTAGTGCTGGGTCCAGTTTCTGCATTTCTTTTGCACTGATTATTTTCATTTTTAACTACTATATAAAAACAAGCAAAAAAAAAACTGTTCTGCTTCCAGAGGTTGCCTGTACTCCTCTCCATTATATTCTGGATCTGATAATTATCAGGACACAAATAGGACATTGCTATGGGAGATGTGTTTGTCAGAATGGAAACTTAGTTATTTTTGCCCCTTGCTGAGATATGTCTTCTCTTTCCAACCAGTTTTATTCATTACTCTATCATTCCCACCCTTTCTGGGATCAAATGCAGTTGAAGGAAGTTTGATCACTAAATGAAGTGTTTGAATTTCTGCTTTTCTGGCAAGACAGGGACAGACAAGCCTTTGTAGGGCCTGAAGTTGGGTGTATAGCTCCTGTTTGTTTAAAGTATTGGAGTTTATATCTTCAGTGGCCCGTAGTGTGATGTTTAGCAAAGAAGACATTGTTGGAGCTGATAATGTATGCCGCAAGGCAGAAGCTAAATATCTCCATGGTGGAAGGAACAAAATTTTGAGAACATTTATCCAAACTATGCTTTCATAGGATGTCCACAATGCTATATAATTATTACTATTGTAATTCAGTTTAGTACAAAACAGCACTCTGGGAATTTTTATCTCTAAAAAAGTGCTTAGACATTAAATTTGAAATTTCTGAATTCATCATCAAATATGTATAATCTTGCAAAATGTTACTGAATTGTTGCCTAAGTTCAACATGGGTAATAGTTTACAAAATCCACTTGTGCCCAGAGCCTCAGAGTGAAGAGCAGCCAGCTCTATTTAGGCCCACGCTTGTCTGTCTCTGTACTTCCAGCTCGGCTATTGCTTCTAGGTTATATCTGTCTGTCAACGCTGTGAGCAGACAGCAGTTCCATAGTAATCTGTATACAGTGTGTCTCTGATGCAGAATTCTGCCTTCACGTTTTATGATTCTTAGTGCTGTTCTCAAGGGCCAGAAATGATTTCAGCTCATCATTTCCTCTGTTTTTCATACACTTCCGTTTTCCATGTTTTTCTTATACCTTGGGCTACCTCTTGGTCCATTTTCTATTACCATAATAAAATATCTACAGGTGGGTATTTTATAAGTAAAAGAAGTTCATTTAGCTTATTGTTTTGGAGGATGAAAGCATGGTAGTATCTTTGATGGATACATCTCCTCACAGTGGGTGTCATTATGATAGGATGACATCCAAGAGGAAAAGATATCTGGCAAGATAGGAAACTAGAGGGCTAAGGATTGGCCAGTCTTGTTTTTTTGTAACAACCCTCTGTAAAGAACTGACTCAAAGTCCCATGAGAAGTAACTTAATCCCTTCAGAGGGCAGTATCTCCTGATGACACAAGGACTCCTGAAGTTGCCCTCCTTTTTAAAGTTTTCACTACTACTTAACACTATCATCTTGAGGACCAAGCTTCCAACACCTGAACCCTGGAAGGATAGGCTCACACCACATCCAGGTCATCTAGACTTTGTTTCTAAGCTAGTAGACATTTATTATATCTCTAAGGAAATCTTAGAGATATAATATTGGGCACTTAACATATAAGGAAAGTATTAGATACTTTCATTATGTAACAAAATACCTTTTAGCTGTAGTTCAGTATTTAAAGTATACTAGTTTGCATTGTGGAGCCATTAATTAATTGGAAGTAATCTTTGTGACTAAGAAATGATTAACAAAAATAAATTTAAAGGGGAACGTATCTTTGCTTTGTTTTTACACGTGTGTCATAAATTTGTTGAACAATTATTATATGATACTTTATAAGTAGTATATTTGCTTTACTGTATTTTTGGTTAATCGACTTGTAAAATTTTCTTTTTTTTTTTCCTTTTAGATAAAATCGAAGAAGCACAAAAAGAACTTAATGGGGCAGAAGTTTCAAAAACAGGTAAATTAAAACTATCTCCATTGCAGACTTTTTGGAGAGATGCCCAAACAGATATTTTCAGCCTTACTGAATCAATCAGTAAAAACATACTACAAAATTAGAATAACTTTAAACTATTTGGTATCGTTTTATAGAATTTGCTTTATTAAATGTTTGAGCTAAAAGGATACTTTAAAACTGTTTTTCATATATTAATGTTTTGCCAGTTACAAGCTGAAACAGGATTGCAGCTCTTCTGAAAGTATGAGACTGTGCTAAAGTGTAGAATAGTAGGTTTGATGATGTATTTATATCTACCTGTGTGTGACCTGTGTGTGCTTGGGTGATAATAGTGTCTTTTGCAATGAGAAAAAGCTAAGACAGTGGAAACAACCTCGGTGTCCACCAGTGGAAAAAATAGTTGAATAAATTATAACAAATTCATATTTGGGTACGTCACAAAATGTAATAATGGTAATAGTTAAGTAAAAACGAAATTGTAGCAAGTTTTTTGGTTAAATGAAGTCAGGTTTTTGTGTGCGTGTGTGTTTGGGTATACACACATTCACATAGGCTTATATGGAATTAGACAAACTATGAAAGGATTTGTGTACAGACACATTTATAATGGTGAAAGAAGAGGCAAGGGAAGATAACTGTGTTGTCAGAAATTTTATTTTATTTTTTTGACTAGTTTTACAGTGGGTACAATTTTGTACTCAAAATAAAACTTAAAAGGTAGAAATTATTTTCATGATATAAAGCATATTATGTTTCCAGGCAAGATAAATAGATAAGATGCTGAGCAGCAAGAAGGAAGGACCCATGGGGGTTAGTGTTCTAACACTATCTGTAAGTGGATAAAATTGTACTGTTCTTCTAATATAATGGAGAAGTAAGGATCTCATAGTATCTGTTTTTTTCATGATCTGTTATCCAGTTTTCCTTGTTATGTCTTCTAATTATACTGAAATATTTCAATAGAGTAATATACTAAATAGAATTCCAATGGAAAGGCTTTTTTTTCTTTTTTCAAATTTCATTTACCGCCAGATTGATTACTGACTAGACATCTTTAGGGAAAACTTCTTGCTATTATAGTTTCAAATTAAAGTGTCCTTTGAAAGTCTTATGTGTTCAAAGGGAGGACTTTTTAATAGGTGGTTGGATCAGGGGTTGATCCATTGATGAGTTCATAACTAAATTTGCTGTTAGAAGGGAAGGCCTGGTTGGATGAGGCATGTCACTGGGATTGGGCATGGCTTTAGAGGTTATATATACCTCCCCAGCCTCTTCTCTTCTCCTCTGGCTTTCTAGCTGCTATGAAATAGATAACTTTGCTCACCATACTGTTCAACCATGCCATTTCTGCTTTGGAGCCAACCAGTCATGGACTGAATTCCCTAAAACCACGACGCAAATGAAACGTCTCTTCATTTAGATTGTACTTGTTGGGTATTTTACTTCAGCAGTGAGAAAGCTCATTAATACAAAAATGGTACCAGGAAAACAGTTGTTTCTGTGATGCTACCCAACCATTTTGATTGGAGGCCTTTGGAACTGGTTTCTGGAAAGAGTTTGAAATGCTTTAGAGATGTGAATTAGAGAAGTCCTAAAAGAGTATAAGCCAGAACTTGATGGGTGATTCTGGTAGGAGCTCAGATGATCAAATACTGATAAAAAATGGGACAGTAAAGGTCAAGCTCAGGTGATTTTATTTGGAAACAAGGACTCCATTGCTAGACTAGAGTCCTTTTGTGTGACACTCTGGTAAAATGTTTGTATTCATTTTGCCTGTGTCTGGAGATAGGGATTAAGGGCAATGGACTATCTGACAGGAAATTTCAAGACAGCCCAGTGTTCTGGCTGTAGTATGGGTACTGTTGATTACCTTTTGTCAGTTCTCCAGTGAGAAGCAGAAGCCAAAAAACAGGCTTAAGTTATTGAAAATGTGTAGGATGGCCAGAAAAAAAATATAGTACCTATGAAGTTTGGCCCAAGGAAAGCATGTTTGCTGAGAAGATTAATATCAAAGAAGAAGCCAAGTTTTTACATCAAAATAATGGCCATACTGCACAAACTGCAGGCTTAAGGGTGAAAAGGGGTAAACTCCTTCAAAAGAGTTAGCTTTGTAAAGAGAGCCCCAGGGTACCCTGTTCCTCCCAGGCTACCTAGGAAAGTATTTCCCAGAGTACACTTTCCCACTTTTGTATCCTGGAGCAGCCCATGCAACCTTCAAGATTGCTTGGGATTGGTTTCAATATTTATGCACTGATGTGTAGCAACCTTAAATTGTCTTCCTTTTCCTCACCTCCTCCTGCCTTCCACAGAACTCTGGAAGGTCCAGATTGAATCTGACTCTTGAAGACATTCGTATAGGAAGCATGGCTAGAAAGAGAGAGAAATTGGCACAGCTGTAGTGTTCCTTTGAGAGGCTGACCCCCCCCCATGCCCATCTGGAGACATTTTGCATACTCAGATTTAGAGAAGCCTTATTTTTAAAATTTTCATTACTGTGGTTAGCCTCTTTCACATCTAGAAGTGGTTTAGAACAGCTTCAACTGGTGAATAAAAATGAGCTTGTCTTTCTTCCTTTCTCACTCCTGTCGCAAAAAGTTTCCACAGAAGTGCACTAAATGCCTGATAGGAAGGAGCTAACAGAACAAAGGGTCTAGAAAAAGAAAAGGGATAATGAGCTTCAGAATAACTGAGTGGGCTACATTTGGCAGGCTACACTTAGTTAAGACTTAGAATGAATACCAAGTGAGCATTGTTCTGTGCAATTCACTGCTAAGAATTACTATTTGGCTTTCATTTTACACAGAAATTCTGAGCGAATTAAAAATACAAGTTTTCCTTCTAGATACAAGTAATAATATCACTCCCTCTTTAATGATACAGGGAAAAAGTCTTTAATAAAAGAGTTGAGATTTCTCAAAGTATTCCTCAGTTATTTGTTTTTCTTACAGAGAATTCATTTTTCCCATCAAACAATACATAAAATATGGGGTTATTTGTTATTTTCAGATTATGATGCATCATCTATGATAGATCACATTTTCTCTGTATTTTTGTTTTTCCAGTATGAATGTTTGATCGCATGTAATTTTAACATTCTTAATGGTTCTAAGGCTTTGTTCCCATTGAAGACTGGTCTTTAACTTACTAGAAATTTTTCTTCCTTTTCTTTTTTTTTGCTGCTGTTATGATGCATAACTAATTTCCATAAGCATCAGCTCTTCAAAGATAAACTTGGTCATCGATATATTTTTTAAAATATTTTTTCTGTGTTTTTTTAAATGTTCTAAGGAAGGACTGATATGCTTAGCATAATATAGAAACTGAATTTTTCAGTCATTTACCAATAGGCAAAAGAAGTGCACCAAATTATTTTCATGTACTTGTTATATTGTTTTTCTCTGCTTATAAATGAAAAGCAGTTGACTTCAATGTGATTTACTTTGATTTTAATCAATTATGGGATAGACATAAGCATGTGACATTCCCATAATGTCCATGTGTTCTTCCTTGGAGGGCTGTCTACATCCTTCTTAATGTATGTTGTGCTTGACAGTAGCTTTACAGTTACTAAGCAGCATTTAAATAAAATGAGCATTGTCAGTTATGGTAATGGAATATGAATAAAATGAAGTGGAAAGAAAAATAGATTGGCTGGGATTAGTTAGCTTTTATGTACTACGTCTTGAATAAGGCTTAATTTTAAGACTTTGCTTTAAATTTTTATCATATACTATGTGACATCTGTACATTAATATATGTTATGCATTGAGTTATACTAAGAATAATCCCCAATTTAAGAGTGAAGCATTGCCAGGATTGTTCCATCCACTGCACAGTGATCCCTTTCATCCCATACCACTGTTCACAACTTTGTGGTCATTTCACTGCTTTTAAATAAATAATTATTTGTTGAAGTAGGTATTCTTGAATAATGTGTTTTTTTAGTTTTGCCTGATTTGAGCTTTGAAAATGAAATGTGTATAGTCTTCCATGGCGGTTTCACTCCACACTGTTGTATAGCTCGTCCATATTGTTGCATGTAGCTGTTGCTTTTCATTGCTGTAGTAACATTTCACTGTGTGGTGTGATTTGTTTGTCCCTTCCTCTGTTTAACAGATTTGAGTTGTTTCTGTCTGTTTGATTTTCGGTCGTAATCAGTGCACGTAGGAATATTTTCCTGTCCTGGTACCTATCTGTGAATTTTCTAGGGTGTGTCTAGGTAATGGGAATTTTCATTTTGCCAAATTGCTTTTCAGTGTAAAAAAAAAAAATTCTTTTGTTTTCCCACCATTAATAAGAACTTATTTATATTATATAATACATAATACATAATATTATATTAATATATAATATTAATATTATATATTATATATTATATATAATTAATATATTATGTATAATTAATATATAATTAATATATAATACATAATATTATATAATACATGTTGTATTCAGTCTTTTTAACTTTTTCTAATTGCTTGGTTGTAAAGTAGCATCTCATTTTGCTCATGATTTGTTTTTCCTTGACTACTATTAAAAGGAAAACTTCAGACCCATTAAGCTTAATAGTTTATTCAAGCAGTTCATGACTCTGGGAACACTTAGAATCAGAAGAGTTTCTCCCAGATCTGCCTAGCAACGTGAGAAGGAACACGGAAACAAAGGAGAGGTTCACCTGTATTTACAGCTAGGTGTTTGCCTTATTTGGGCAGAGTCTGGTCAGTGTGGGCTGCCCCTGGCTGGCTAAAACTCAGCTATATGTTACCAAAAAAAGGTGAGGTTTAACTTTATATACTCACTGAGATAAGTTGTAGTGTGTTAAATATGAACTCAAAGTAAGGTGAAAACTTGAGGCTAATGACCTCCTGTGTAATTTGACACTACTAATGTGGAACTTGTCCTCATTTGTACTCTGCCTTAATGACCTGCTTGCCAGTATCTTTTATGCATCTTTTTTAAACAATTGAGTTCTTTGTCTTTTTCTTAATATGTATTAGATA